ATCCATCCATCCATCCATCCATCCATCTGCTCATTCATCCATCCATCCATCCATTCACTTATCCATCCATCCATCCATCATCCATCCATCCATCCATCCATTCACTCATCCATCCATACATCCACCCACCCATCCATCCACCCATCATTCATCCATCCATCCATCCATCCATCCATCCACTCATTCATCCATTCCTCATCCATCCACCCACCCATCCATTCATCCATTCACTCATCCATCCACCCACCCAATCAACCATCTATCCATCCACCCAACCAACCATCCATCCATCTGCTCAACCAACCAATTATCCATCCATCCACCCACTCATCCATTCACCCATTCACCCATCCATCCACCTACCCACCCACCCATCCATCCATTTATCCATCCATTCATCCATCCATCCAACCATCCATTTACTCATCCATCCATCCATCCATCCACCCACCCACATATATACAAATTAGAAATGGTAGAATTGCAACTAGAGTTCAAGACTTGCAAATCCTGGTGCAATAAATATTATTCTTTCTCATTTTTAAATGTTAATATCCATTTTGTTTTTCAAAGTTGAGCATGATATAAGTATGTTGTTCCTTGGATTCCTGATGCTGTCAGTAACCTAGCAACTCAGCACCTCATGGAGAACAAGAAGAACCTCTCGCGCAGAAGGTTTGGCTTGCAAACAAGCCATTCCACACTGGAAGGCTGTGTGAACCGATGATGTGGAAGAATAATCATCCCTCCTTGCTGTTTCTTATGAGATTTGTAAGGCATACTCCCACTTGCCAATACTATTTGCCAACATACTACTCCGCCTCCTCTCTGTTTCCTCTCTTGTAAGATGGCAACAATGCATGCAGGATTATTTCTGTCCCTTTCTTTAAAACTTCTGGTATTTTAAAGATTTTCTAGTATGTCATTGTTTTTGTAATTTGAAAATAAAAGGTTATTTTTTTTAAAGGGAGAGATTATAGGGGACTGAGTGTGTGGCCTTGAGTTTGTCTGTTTCCAAACTCCCTGTTGAGGCTGTTCAATCAAAGAACCAATGTTGGGGGAAAGTCTATCCCAAGGCTCTAGCCCAAAGGAAACTCTCTTCCACACTGGGTGTGTTAGGATGCAGGAGAGCCACAAAGTCAATAAAAAAGGCACATAACAAACTAGAAAAAAATAGTAATATGTAGCATATGTAACAAAGTGCTAGTGCTTGTCATATGTAAAGAGCACCTACAAATCAATAAGAAAATAGTCATCTGTAGCATGTGTAACAAAGTGTTAGTGCTTGTCATATGTAAAGAGCACCTACAAATCAATAAGAAAAAACTCAATAGCCAAATAGAAGATACTCAGAAGTACTTAGTGCAAAGATACTAACAATCAGGAAAGAAAGCAATAGGTGACTGATTTCACTGATGGCCAAATAATTGAATATTATAACATCAAAGAGACACTAATTTCACATAACTGGCTGGCAAAACTTTTAATTTTAGTTGATAATCATTATGGCTAGGTTGTGGGGGAAGTGGCATTTTCACTCACTGTTGACAGGAGTTCAAGTTGCTATAAACTTTGTGAAAGGTTATTTGTCAATGATTAACAGAATTGTAAATGCCAGTATCTTCTAAAGCTGCATTTCTGCTTTTAGGAATTTACCTCCTGAGATATTTAGACAAGGTCAAAAGCTATGTATACCATGATGTTTCTGCTGCAACATTATTTGGACATAAAAAAAAAAAAAACCCATAAAGATCAGTAGTGTGTTCTTCAAGTCACTCTGGCATATCCATACACAAGAATGCACTAACTAAAAAGAATGAAGCTGACTAACCACACTGACAAAAATGGCAATCAAAAACAACTCTTAACATTTTTAAAAGGCTGAAAAGTAGAGATGCTACATTAAAAAAAAAATGCTCCTTCTATCAGACCATTTTGATTTCTAGCAATGTGGCAGAAAACGTCACTTCAAATCTCTCCTCCTATAAAACCCAGGCAAGACTGGATGAAAGAAATGAACAAAGGCCGGGAGCAGTGGCTCACACCTGTAATCCCAGCATTTTGGGAGACTGAGGCAGGAAGATCGCTTGAGCCCAGGAGTTCATGACCAGCCTGGGCAACAAAGCAAGATCCCATCTTTACAAAAATATTTTTTTTTTTTTTTTTTTTTTATTAACAAAAAATTTTTAAAAAGTATCCAGGTGTGCTGGTTATGTGCCCACAGTCCCGGCTACTGAGGAGGCTGAGGCAGAAGGATTGCTTGAGCCCAGAGATCAAGGCTGCAGTGAGCTATGATCACATCACTTCACTCCAGCCTGGGTGACAGAGTAACAAGGAGAGGGGAGGGGAAGGGCAGGGAGGGGAAGGGCAGGGAGGGGAGGGGAGTACAGGGGAGGAGAGGGGAGGGGAGGGGAAGGAAGGAAGGAAGGAAAAAGGAAGGAAGAAAAAGAGAGGGATGGAGGAAGAAAGAAAGAGGAAGGAAGGAAGGAAGGAAGAAAAGAAAGAAAGAAAGAAAGAGAGAGAGAGAAAGAAAGAAAAGAAAGGAAAGAAAGAAAGAAAGAAAGAAAGAAAGAAAGAAAGAAAGAAAGAAAGAAAGAAAGAAAGGAAAGAAAGAAAGAAGAGAGAAAGGGAGGGAGGGAGGAAGGAAGGAAAGAAGGAAGGGAGAGAGAAAAAAGGAAAGAAAAAAAGGAAGGAAAGAAGGAAGGAAGGAAGGAAGGGAAAAAAAAAAGAAAAAAAGAAAATGAATACCCTTTCTAACCCACAGCTGAGGTCACAAAAAAGTAAGAAAATCCAGCACAAACTAAAAACTTCAAAGAGGACAGAGCCCTGGGTGGAGAGAAGTGGCCCGTGGCCACCCATGTTGAGGGTAGAGGCTTCTGGTCTTGGTCACTAACGGCCTGATTTTGTCCTTAATCTCTGCTTCTCTTAAAAATTTATAGTGGAAAATTCCTTTTTTTTTTTTTTTTTTTAACTTGCAATGTTTGTCTTTATTTTGTGCTTTATATTTTCAAACTGAAAAGAAATAGTATTGAGTCAATTTCTTTTTGTTTTTTAAAATATTCGTTCTATGTATTTAGAAGCCTTCAAGCTGCTCTAAGGATTTCAAAAGCATTGAGAGTAGGACCGGGCACGGCGGCTCACTCCTGTCATCCCAGACTTTGGGAGGCTGAGGCGGGCAGATCACCTGAGGTCAGAAGTTCGAGACCAGCCTGGCCAACATGGTGAAACCCCGTCTCCACTAAAAATACAAAAATTAGCCGGGCGTGGTGGCAGCTGCCTGTAATCCCAGCTACTAGGGGTGCTGAGGCAGGAGAATCGCTTGAACCTGGGAGACGGAGGTTGCAGTGAGCCGAGATCGCACCACGGCACTCCAGCCTGGGGGACAGAGCAAGACTCCATCTGAAAAAAAAAAAAAAAAAAAATAGCATTGCGAGTACTTTTCCTGGGGTAGCACTTTCTTTTTCTTTTTTTATTTTGTAAACAATCCTTGGAGTTCTATGGTCCATGCCATTTCCTTCTGTTTCAATGTGATGTATGTTTTGATTACTACTGTGATGTTTCAAGTTTTCTGAAGCAAGCTGAAAGGCAGGCAGAAAGATCTGATGCAAAATAAAAACAAAAACAAAAAAGTTTCTTACCTTATTCACCCCAAACTTCTCAAATCTGGACTAAATACTATACTTTAAAACAAACATGTAGTGCATCTGAAGGCGAGGACAGTTTATTTCTCTGCTTTTCTATTACGCAAGTTGTTTACAGAAACTGCAAAGTAAGGCCGGGCACAGTGGCTCACGCCTGTAATCCCAGCACTTTGGGAGGCCAAGACAGGCGGATCACCTGAGGTCAGGAGTTCAGGACCAGCCTGGCCAACGTGGAGAAACCCCATCTCTACTTAAAATACAAAACACTTAGATGAGCGTGGTGGTAGGCGCCTATAGTCCCAGCTACTAGGGAGGCTGAGACAGGAGAATCGCTTGAACCCGGGAGGTGGAGGTTGCAGTGAGCCCAGATTGCACCATTGCACTCCAGCCTAGACAACAGAATGAGACTCCCTCTCAAAAACAAAAACAAAAACAAACAAACAAAAAAAGACGCCAAGCGTGGTGGCTCAAGCCCGTAATCCCAGTACTTTGGGAGGCTGAGATGGCCGGATCATGAGGTCAGGAGATCGAGACCATGCTGGCTAACACGGTGAAACCCCGTCTCTACTAAAAATACAAAAAAAAGTAGCTGGGCGAGGTGGCAGGTGCCTGTAGTCCCAGCTACTCGGGAGGCTGAGGCAGGAGAATGGCGTGAACCTGGGAGGTGGAGCTTGCAGTGAGCTGAGATCCGGCCACTGCACTCCAGCCTGGGTGACAGAGCGAGACTCCGTCTCACAAAAAAGGAAGAAAGAAAAGAAAAGAAAGAAAGGGAAGGGAGGGAAGGGAAGGAAGGGAAGGAAGGGAAGGGAAGGAGGGGAAGGAGGGGAAGGAGGGGAAGGAGGGGAAGGAAGGAAGGAAGGAAGGAAGGAAGGAAGGAAGGAAGGAAGGAAGGAAGGAAGGAAGGAAAGAAAGAGAAAGAAAGAAAGAAAGAAAGAAAGAAAGAAAGAAAGAAAGAAAGAAAGAAAGAAAGAAAGAAAGAAAGAAAGAAAGAAAGAAAGAAAGAAAAGAAAGAAAGAAAGAAAGGAGGGAGGGAGGGACTGTAAATTAAAAAATTACATATAGTGGAAAATTTCAAACACAGCCTGAAGTACCCAGACCAGGATGAGGTCTCTCTGAGCGCCAACGCCTCCTGCAACGGGAATTAACATTCTGCCCTTCTTCTGTTCTCACTTCCTCTCTCCAGCTTTGCATGGGTATTTCACACAAATTCAAGACATCATATGACTTTCCCTGTAGACCCTTCAGAATGTTCTCTAATCACGGAAGCCTTCTCATTTCCCAACACAGAACCATCCAATCAAATTAACAATGTGTTGTTACCATCTTGCTACATGATTATCACCAATAATTTCCTGTTACCAATAACCAGGTTGTGACCCGTTGTCTGTGACTATCTCACGAATGTCCTTTTACGGCCCGGCGTGGTGGCTCATGTTTGTAATCCCAGCCCTTTGGGAGGTTGAGGCGAGCTGATTGCTTCAGAACAGGAGTTTGAGACCAGCCTGGGCGACATACCAAGACCTCATCTCTACCAAAAAAAAAATACAAAAAAATTAGCTGGGCATGGTGGCACGTGCCTGTAGTCCCAGTTATTTGAGAGGATGAGGCGTGAGGATCGCTTGGGACCAGGTGATCAAGGTTGCAGTGAACCACGACGGCACCACTGCACTCCAGCCTGGGCGACAGCAAGACGCTGTCTCAAAAAAAATTAATTTTTTTTTTTTTTGAGACAGAGTCTCGCTCTGTCGCCCAGGTTGGAGTGCAGTGGTACGATCTCGGCTCACTGCAAGCTCTGCCACCTGGGTTCAAGCGATTCTCCTGCCTCAGCCTCCTGAGTAGCTGGGACTACAGGCACCCGTCACCATGCCTGGCTAATTTTTGTATTTTTAGTAGAGACGGGGTTTCACCACGATGGTCAGGCTGGTCTTGAACTCCTGACCTCAGGTGATTGATCCACACACCTCAGCCTCCCAAAGTGCTGGGATTACAGGTGTGAGCCACTGCGCCCAGCTGAAAAGAAATTAAATTTAAGGGCCGAGTTCGGCAGCTCACGCCTGTAATCCTAGCAGTTTGGAAGGCCGAGGCGGGTGGATTGCCTGAGCTCAGGAGTTTGAGACCAGCCTGGGCAACAAAGCAAAATTCCATCTCTAGTAAAAATACAAAAAATTAGCCAGGCATGGTAGTGGATGCCTGTAATCCCAGCTACTCGGGAGACTGAGGGAGGAGAATGGCGTGAACCCGGGAGGCGGAGGTTGCAGTGAGCCGAGATCGCACCACTGCACTCCAGCCTGGGCAACAGAGTGAGACTCTGCCTCAAAAAAAAAAAAAAAAAAAAAAAATTAAATGTAAAAAGGTAAAAAGCAGCTCAGGACCCCCAATTTACAATGCACTCCATATTGCTGTACGTATCTATATGAGTGTGCATGCACAGGAAATGTCTAGAAAGAAAGTTTCAGTGGTTAGACGGGAATGACCATGGCAAATGTTTAAGCAGCACCTGTGTGGTACTTAGTCATCTCAGGCCCTCCACGCGGTTCTGTCCATCAACGACCGGATCCCGTGCTCACGGCGACTCTACAGTACATGGTTGTTACTCCACTACAAAGCAGGAAGCAACACTTACGAAAACCAAGGAACTTGCTCAAGAACTCACAATCAAAACTAGTGGGCGGCCGGGCGCAGTGGCTCCTGTCTGTAATCCCAGCACTTTGGGAGGCCGAGGCGGACGGATCACCTGAGTTCAGGAGTTTGAGACCAGCCTGACCAGGAGTTTGAGACGAACCTGACCAACATGGAGAAACTCCATCTCTACTAAAAATACAAAAATTAGTCGGGTGCGGTGGCACACGCCTGTAATCCCAGCTACTCAGGAGGCTGAGGCAGGAGAATCGCTTGAACCCAGGAGGCAGAAGTTGCAGTGAGCTGAGATCACACCACTGCACTCCAGCCTGGGTGACAGAGTGAGAGTCTGTCTCAAAAAAAAAAAAAAATAGTGGGCAGGCCCAGCGCAGGGCTCACACCTGCAATCCCAGCACTTTGAAAGGCTGAGGCAGGAGAACCACTTGAGCCCAGGAGTTTCAGACCAGCCTGGGTAACATAGTGAGACCTCATCTCTACTAAAATTAAACAAAAATTAGGCAAGTGTGGTGGTATCCACCTGTAGTCCCAGCTACGCAGGAGGTTGAGGTGGGAGGATGGCTTGAGTCCAGGAGGTTGAGGCTGTAGTGAGCCATGATTACGCCCCTGCACTCCAGCCTGGGTGACAAAGTGAGACCCTGTCTCAAAAAAAAAAAAGAAAAAAAAAAAAAGAGGCGGGCAAATATCCACCCCAGTTGTTCTCCTTTCACGTTCTGCACTGATGGTCGGTTCCCACCCACCCCACACTGTTAACAGTGATTAATTCTGGGGAATGAGATTTGTGATGAAGATTTCTCCATTCTCACTCCTGTGGTACGAGAGACTTCTTTACAAACACATTCTCAACAGGGCGAAAATCAATTCTTGGGGAGGTGAAAACAAATTTTACTTTTTTATGCATTAAGCCCAGAAAACAGAACATAAACAGATACACAGTATATCCATGATATTGAAATTTCACGGGTATAGGCCGGGCTCGGTGGCTCACACCTGTAATCCCAGCACTTTCGGAGGCAGAGGTGGGAAGATCACTTGAGGCCAGGAGTGCAAGATCAGCCTGGACAACATAGCAAGACCCAATCTCTAGAAAGAATAAAAATTTTAAAATTATCCAGGCATGGTGGTGTGCACCTGTAGTCCCAGCTTTGGTGGCTGAGGCGGGAGGATTGCTTGAGCCTGGAGTTGGAGGCTGCAGGGAGCTGCAATGGCTACTGAACTCCAGCTTGAGTGACAGAGCAAGAAGATCCTGTCTCTAAGATAAAAAAAAAACAAAAACTCCATTATATAATCATGCTACTTGGGGCCAGGCACAGTGGCTCATGCCTGTAATCCCAACACTGTGGGAGGCCGAGGTGGGCGGATTGCCTAAGGTCAGGAGTTCGAGACCAGCCTGACCAACATGGTGAAACCCCGTCTCTACTAAAAGTGCAAAAATTAGCCGGGCATGGTGGTGTGCACCTGTAATCCCAGCTACTCGGGAGGCTGAGGCAGGAGAATCACTGGAACCCAGGAGGTGGAGGTTGCAGTGAGCCGAGATCGCACCACTGCACTCCAGCCTGGGGGACAAGAGCAAAACTCCGTCTTAATAATAACAATAAAAATAATAATGCTACTTGGACATCTTTGGTCAAAAGAATCAGACATCGGATGCATCTAAAAATCTCTTGCCACCATTATCCTTTCTAAGGAGCCATTAGGTAAAGGATGTCTAAAAATAAGGTGATCACGGAAAAAGAAAGCTTACGAAACACCAACTTCTGTAATCACATTTTCAGGTGAAAGAAATGGAAACTGATCTAACTTCCAGCTCACCTCAAGCTGGAAAGAAGGCTAGTTTCTAGAAGCATCTCCAAAAACGGAAGGTGAAGTTTCTAGCACACAGTTCTACCGAGGGCCGATGATGAAGAGGGAGAGAGGCGGGCAGGAGGGGAAGCGGGTGCCCCACGCTCCGCTGGAAAAAGCCAGTGTCACCAGGCTCTGCTATTTGCTTGCGGGAGGGACGCCCGGGGTAGGGGCGGAAGGGGGGGTGTGCTGTTGGTCGCTGGCTGCAGACACCACGTGGTGCTTTGTGAGCTGATCACAGCCCCGGCCTGCCTGCTTTGCTGTCCTGGGCTGACCTCCGAGAGCACCGCACTTTCCCCTCGCTGACTCGGTGGTGAACGTCTGTCTGCTTGAACTTCGAAGCTCTGAGGTTTCCATTCCAGCAGAATCAATACTACGAGGGCCCACCCCTCCCCTCCTCCCAGCCGGGGCCGGATGAATCCAAATAAACCCAGCCGGTGGGGAAGAGCATTTCCAGGACTTCGGAGGGAGGAAGCGCCGCCCACCTGGGTGGGTTTCCACGAGGTGGAGGTGCGGCCCCGGGGGACCCTGGGGCAGCCCTGCCCTGTAGCCGCGTCACTCCTCCCGCCTGATGTCACAGGAGCTGGGGGAGTTTGGGTATTTCATGAAGCTGTCAAGTTATCGTCGCAACCCAGCTGTGGTTTGTGACATCAGAGTTCAGACACAGCCTAAAGGCAACATCAAAGACGGTGCATGAAAACCGGGGGTTAGGCAGGCCTGTAATCCCAGCACTTTGGGAGGCGGAGGCAGGCGGATCACCTGAGGTCAGGAGTTCGAGACCAGCCTGACCAACATGATGAAACCCCATCTCTACTAAAAATAAAAAAAATGGGCCGGGCACAGTGGCTCACACCTGTCATCCCAGCACTGTGGGAGGCCAAGGTGGGTGGATCACTTGAGGTCAGGAGTTCGAGACCAGCCTGACCAACATGGTGAAACCCCCTCTCTACTAAAAACACAAAAATTAGCCGGGCGTGGTGGTGTGGCCTGTGATCCCAGCTACTCAGGAGGCTGAGGCAGGAGAATCACTTGAGACCTGGAGGCGGAGGTTGCAGTGAGCCGAGATCGCACCACTGCACTCCAGCCTGGAAGACAGAGCAAGACTCCATCTCAAAAAAAAAAAAAAAAAAAAAAAAAATTAGACTGTGGTAATGGTTACACAACTCTGGATATTCTAAAAACCACTGAATTGTGCACTTAAAAAAGTGAATTCTAAATGGCATGTAAAAATCTTAATAAAGCTGTCATACAAAATAAATATATATAAATATGATACCAAAATATATACATAAACATGGTGGTAAAAAATTATTAAGTCCCTTAGACAGTTGTGTTTATGTAGATTTTAGCTATACTCCTGTTAAAGGTTAACATAATCCCATTAAATATTTTTTAAACCATATATTTTATGCTAGGAGGACGACATGTTTAAGTGAAAAGTAACTATTTTTTTTAAAAAAAAATTGAGGGGGAATAGTGGCATTGTTTTACATTTTTGCAAATTTCTTTCATGTCTGGCTTAATAGAAGACAGCTGGATTCTCATATAAGCTGCTGCATTCAATCCACTGTGATATCAAACATCATGGAACCTCTGAAAACTCCACCATCTGTGTGGGACAGACTGAGAGGAGGAAGACCCAGAGTATCTTGGCATTCTTTTTTTTTTTGAGATGGAGTCTCGCTCCGTCACCCAGGCTGGAGTGCAGTGGCGCGATCTCGGCTCACTAAAACCTCCGCCTCCCGGGTTCAAGTGATTCTCCTGCCTCAGCCTCCCAAGTAGCTGGGATTACAGGCACCACCACCACACCCGGCTAATTTTTTTATTTTATTTTTAGTAGAGACAGGGTTTCCCCATGTTGGCCAGGCTGGTCTCGAACTCCTGACCTCGTGATCCGCCCGCCTCGGCCTCCCAAAGTGCTGGGATGACAGGTGTGCGCTACCACGCCCGGCTGCTATCTTAGCAGCATTGACCTGGTGGTCCCCCGCCAAAAGGGTCTC